ATTTTGTGGACTTAAATACAATGAAGGTCTCCCAACGTATGCTGACAGATTTGGACCACAATCGATCACAAATCTAATTAGTATGAAATTCTCAAATGGAAATATCTGCCAATGCGAAGGTTTAGAGTAGATATTTGCATCCAAAACGGGAAAAATTTGCAGAAAATTTGGAAAATGAAAAATTTGCCAGCTTTGGGAGTACATTTTCTCCTCTTTTTATGCAAATATCCCCGCGAAACTTGAGCATTGGCAAATAATTCTATCTCCAAATTTCATACTTGTGATCGATTGACGATAGTTTGGTCCAAATCTGTGAGCATACGTTTGGAGACCTCCATTGTTAGGAACACAGAAGTTGTTGAAAAATTGCTGGAAAGAAATTCCCCAATGCTGAGCCACCCTGTACATTTTGACCAACGTTTGTGCAGAATTCCCTGAAACGAGACATTATTTAAGCGATGGTGTACCTGCAATGTGTACGTGTATATTTACATGTATGCATGCACAGTACGTGTATACGATCGTTCCAAATGTATGAAATACGTTGGTACATAAGCATACGTATTTCATAACATGCTTATGATATTCTAAAACTGGAAAATTAGTTACTCAACGAGTGACCACGATCCAGAGTTGGATTGAGTTTTCACGGCCTGTTCTGGTCTCTTGAGCACAATTTAAAACCATTCTTGTCGAATGGTCTCACACCGGCGTGACGCGAGTGAATCATTATTAATCAGGCAATGAACTGATTCACCGGTAGTTATTTTGTGGGTTGGTACATAGATGCAAATGGTGCTGGATGTACATATGTATGTGCATATGTACATAAGTTCATGTTTGATTGTATATACATATCGCTAACAAAACGAATCATGAAATATGCGAATTTCGTAGAAATTCTCGCCAGAAAAAAATTTCTCACGCAGGTATGAAATCCCCTTGAAATCCCAGGAATGCCTTCATTTTCTTCCAGAACCCGAACTAATTAATACATACAAGACTTACATACTTGATTTTTGTGTACATGCATATGGGATGCAATACATTTCCTAGCATGTGAAATAATGTTAGAAAGGTAACTTTATCTAAATAATAAATTTTTATAAAATTATAATTTGATGGTTTTTATTTTATGAATGTTTTGGAGTTCGATATTACCACAACTTCATAAATTTATTAGGGATTTATGCATGATTTTTCCATAGATTAATTAAATATGCACGTGTGCATACTACATAAATACGATAAATATTATGATAAAACATCACATGCCCATAATATACAAATGTTGAAAACATGAGATGACGTCATCATCCATCGATATTCCATTACACTTTTGTATGCTGACGATATTAATAAAAAATGTAAATTTTACATCGACGAAGTTCAAAATAAAGAAAGACAGTTGAACGACATACATACATAAATGAGTAGAAAAATTGGTGGCGCGACACTACATACCACTTCTTAATACTAATTATTTATTAATTACATATGTATGAACGAGTAAAATAATCACGCCATGATCATTTCTGAGTGTACATACATTCACTAAAGATTGTGTTTGCAAGGCTGACCTGCAACTATTACACTCTTAGCAACTTGGTAAAGAATTCCTAATAAGCGTCTTTACCGAGCTCTTGGTAATAACGCGTCCTACAAAAATTATACGGGATTATTACCGTATCAACACCAAACGGGTAACTAGCCTTCCACCGCAATGTTTTAAGTTATGTTTATAATTTTGGTAATAAATTCCTACGAGCCGGTAATTATATCCTACAAATTTAGATAACACTCTATACCATAATTTTAATAAAGTGTAGTACAAATTGTTTCCGTTGTGGTGCTGATGAGATCTACATTTTGGTGTAGTTTATTACCATGGAGGTAAGAATTTTAATACATTTGGTGTGAAATGTGAGACGCTAAACAGTGCGCATTTCTCAGTTTTAGTTTCCGCTCAGCTCAACTCAAGTCAACACGGCGAACCAATTCTGCCCGTGGGATAAAAATTGAAAAACTTCTGGAAATTATATATAATTGTTGGAAACAGGTGAGTATCAAATTATCATATGTAGGTGCCTTATCAAGATGGTGATCATCGAACGAGTAAATAATAATCTTATGCATTTATTTTTTCAGTTAAACAAAAATTCAAGTTGGAAATCAGAGCAGGTATTTTTCTGCAAGACGATCAGGAGGCGTAGATCGACTTTATTTTTAGTTTAAAGTTAAATACTCGGATTCTATGTTTGGTATTGCTAAAGTGAAAGATTTATATATACATGATTACTTTGAAACAATGCAAAATTGTAAAACAGTTGTTAATTATATAAGTGTACGGCAAAAGCTATAAAATATTTAGTTCGATTTAAATTTCATGTAAATATGTATGTATGTATGTATATAACTCAATAGTCTGCATTATTCTTAAGTTTTGTAATTATGTATTATATGTCAAAATTATTTTACAATAAATATAATTTAATGAAAGATTATTGTAAAGAAAACAAAAATCTATTCTTTTCGGTGGAAATCTGCACTACATTTGGTAATAATGGGGTATACGTAATACAAGCATTAATACCGGTATGAATAGCACACCGTGTACAAAATGGGGTGGTTTAGTACCAGGCGGTAGACATTTTACTACATATTGTAGTACATCTGTCATACATCATGGTATTAATTTTATCCGAAAAAGTGGTCTTTATTACCACTTCGGGTTAAATCAATTTCTTTACCAGCTGGTGGTTATTATTACCGTTTCCGCAGTCATATACGTGTGCATTTTGGTAATGATTTGGTAATGATTTTATTTAGAGTGTACTATTCAACACGTGTACATAAAGTATTTAATTTTCTGATAACCGGATATGTACATATGTATATTTGGTTGTCATAATGTGTTGCTAAACTGTTTAGGACGAAATTAAATATAATTGAAGTTATTATCACACACACTTTACGCGAGTAGATACCAAACTTTCAAATACTTACGCACATCATGTGCGTAAGTAACCCGTTTGCGGCACATGTTGATATACATATTTTTAACATTAAGATTGGATATATCAAACTTTTATCCTTCCGTGCCACACTAGTTAATTATCGAGCCGGGTCAAGATCTATGTAGTTAAGTTAAAAATTTGAATCAAATTAGATAGATCCTACGACAAGATTGTGAAAATCATCTTGAGACACCCATTATACATAAACACATATCCATGTTTGGCAACACTTCGCCTTGTAATCAAAATATGTAAAACGATGCATGCATTTTCATATTTATGAATCCAAACCATCTACCAGGAAGTCACAGATGAGAAATGTAGCTTTGTTAGATAGATAGCTCAATTCGCCTCAACTTGGTGCGGTGCACGGGCCTTTCCAACACTTAGCACCACAGCACGTCCACACAGAAAAGTGTGCATAATAATACAAATGATCTGAATGAAAATTTTTCATTGTATGGGGTATAACTTATTCAAAATAACGATATATAGTCAAATTTATCAACCGATGTCAATTTTGTTCTCAATAAAAATAGTTTATAAAATTCAAGGTGTAAAACAATCACAGGGACTCCTCTCCGATAGGGAAATGTGATACACCAAAATGAAGGGTTCTTCATACTGGTCAGGAATATATAAAATAACTTATTAACACCGGCAAACGTATATTAAGGTCATAAAAAAGGTCAGAGGTTAAAATTTTTATTCTATTTTTGGACGTTTTAGAGAATTTTAAGACCTTGTCTTACTTCCCCCAGGCGGAAAATTTTTAAGGTATTGTAAGATTTGTAGTTTTTCTTGTAGAATAGCGAATATCAATGTTTTTATGTAAGGTGCTAAATTTTCGGAGCACTAATTAATACTAATTATTAATTATTAGGGTAAAATTATAATGCTCCATATTGTGGTAGCTAGGTAGGATAGCTAGCTAGTAAAGATATTTAGGATGGCTTGGTAGGATTGCTACCTAGGATGGCTAGCTAGGATTGCTACCTAGGATGGCTAGCTAGGATTGCTACCTAGGATGGCTAGCTAGGATTGCTACCTAGGATGGCTAGCTAGGATTGCTACCTAGGATGGCTAGCTAGGATTGCTACCTAGGATGGCTAGCTAGGATTGCTACCTAGGATGACTAGCTAGGATTGCTACCTAGGATGGCTAGCTAGGATTGCTACCTAGGATGGCTAGCTAGGATTGCTACCTAGGATGGCTAGCTAGGATTGCTACCTAGGATGGCTAGCTAGGATTGTTAGCTAGGGTTGCTAACTAAGATTCTAGGGTTGCTAGCTAGGATGGCTCCCTAGCACTGTGCGAAGCTAACAAAATGATCGAATTCAACATTCGCTAAAAGCTAGAAATCTTACATTACCCCCCAAAAAATTTGAGTTTAAGTATTTATACATACAGGTAAATATGAATTTGCATATATGCTTAATATGCAATAAACATGAGCAAATTTGAAGCAGTTAATCATTGGTCAAAATAGTGGTCATTTTTTAAACCTCTGTCCCAAATACTGTCTAAGCCAGTAAACAAAAATGCAAAAAAAGCAATTGCCCCGACTAGTATTGGAACCCACGACCCCGAAATGGGATAAAACGAATTTAAGCATGCTCAAAATGTGTTTTTCGCACATTTCAGAGCCACCACCGCGAGCTGAGCTATCTATCCATATATACCTTATCGTGTGGAAGTGCACCACAACAGAATATCGTATTCGTTCTATCTATGCAGACTCGTACATAAAACACCAAGTTGAGAACCAGTTGGAACCATAAAACGCTAAGACTGTTTTGGCATTCATTTATTTCATGATTCCAACTGGTTTTCAGTTTGATGAGTTTAACTGACAATTCGTAGTTGATTGATAATTAAAAAATCAGTAAACAACACTTACATACTCCAGCTGAAGTAATTTTAATAAAGCTGTTAAAAATTTGCCCAGTAAAATTAGGACGACCTTTACTTGCACCATTTTCAGTATCAAATCTCTCATTTATTTCAAAAGCAATCCAATATTTAATACATCCCAGTCACATATAAAAACAGGCAAAAGTTAATAATATTTCAAACACATAAAGATACACATCATAATTTAAGCATCAAATTTCAAAAAGAACACAAAAGAATTACATATCAGCCCAACAAATCATCAACTTTTGAAAAAAAACAATGCCATAAAAATCCTTCACTTTTTAACTTTACTTCTCAACCAGTACCCCTTCGTTGCCGGTGGGGGAGGAGAATGCTTCCTAAATTTGGTCATGAACTCATTCTCCACATTGGGAAACATTCCCGGAAGCTCGGCCCCCCGTGGGTACGCGTCGCGCCCCATCTCGTACGGAATGTCCAGATATTTCAGAGTCGTGCAAATTTCTTCATCTTTCTTGGGGAGGAAAGTGTCCAAAAAACCGCCATACTTTTCCCAATACTGCCGACCACTCTTAAACCGTGAGACACGCCAATTCCTGTCCGTCGGGTAAATTCGGAGTGACCGGATGGACGGCAGGTGCGCCTTGTAGCTCATGCTGGCCTCGTCCCCCGGAAAGATAAGCGTCACCCCCTCATCGGATCCTCGTTTAACCCAAAAGTCCAGCCTTTCCAACTTGGGGAGCGCGGGAAGCCGAAGGGTCACCCCGGACTGACCGTCTTCTCCACACGTTGACACGACAAATTCCAAGTGCTCCAAAGTTCTCCCGTTTTTCTCCACCAATTTTTCAAAATTTTGAAAATCCTGCATTTTCACGAGCTTCGGCAGACTTAAACTGGTCAAGGGTTGTTCTAATCTGAGCAGAAAGTCGAGGATGGGTCCCGCCTCGTGGATAAAGGGAGTACTCACTTGGGTCAAATTAGGGTACGACGAGGGTCCCACGGTGCGCATGTGTTTCACCAAAAATGAGGACAGGACTGAATGCCCGTTAATGAGGATGGAGTCGACATTTCTAATTGCGGATGCCCAGGGCGCCAACCAAGCGAGGTTGAACGCGGTCATGTCCGATTGACGGGAATTCATTCCAACCAGGAAGAAAGAGAAGGTTTTGAGCTGCTGGAATTGGAGATTTGTCACGATTTGATATTCGATTTCTTGCCCGGTAACGGTCACAAGGTTCATCTCGATCTTGAGGGTTAACTCTTGTAGAGTTTCTTGCAGTTTCGTGACAACCTGGTTAGGAAAAAAATATTTCTTCATTTAAAATTCATTCAAAAAATTGGAAAAGAATTAGTCCTTCATTGCTTATTTATTCAAAAGTTGAAAATAGTTAATCATTTATCTCAAATTCTCCTTATTAGATGGATTTCTCAATACACTAAAATTATTCATTCATTCGAAATGAATAAATACTTGTACAAAATTCATTCAATCAAAATGTTTGAAAGTATTGTTCATATTTTCAAACATGCGATGTTCATGCAATATTCATTTATGAATATGAATTTCTGGAACAATGAATGAAATGAATAAATAAATATTTATAACCACATAATTTTGAATAAATTCCAAATTCATTAAATCAAAATGTTTGAAAAAATTATTCACTCAACACTTATTCATGATTCGTGCACATGAATGAAGGGAATAATGAAATGAATGAATAACTTAATCCTTCTGTATTCAATGAATGAATGTGAACAGGTATGGATGGCTGGTACCCACCTTGACGAAGATTTTGTAGTCAAACCGTGCCTCGAGGGCTCCATGCAGCACCAATCTTTTAACGTGATGTCCCCGATTCGGGTGCAGGAACCAGTCCAAATCCATGATATATTTTCCGCCCGGTTTATGTTTGGAGATATTAAATCCGCTCTCGGAAAATGGGTACATCTCGGGTTCAAAAGTGGGCAGGAAAAAGGTCCAATTGGGCATGGGCGCGTCCCCCATTTCCTGAATGTACCGGTAAAACTGCATCGAAGCGTTGACATTTTGGGTCGTGCAGCCACCCTCGTACGAAAACGTGAACGTGGCGTATCCCCTCTTTCGCAGGATTCGGGACCCTAGCTCGTTCCAATCGCGGCATACGAGGCGCGCGCACTTCAGACTTTGGACAGGAAGATAGGTCAAGATCTGGGACAAGATCTAAATAAATACGGTTAAGTTAATTAATTATGATTTGATCGTAAGCAAAACCAGAGCTCGGCGGGTATGAATGGGCGAGATTTAGCCCAAATACTGATATTTGGAGTTCACTTATCCGGGATAAAACCTTAAAATTTTTGAGATTTTCACCCAATATCCGCCGAGCTCTGAGTAAAAAGTGTTCAAATTTTTACACACCAAGTGGTTCCGTCCAGGGACAAAATCCACATTATTTTCTTCCTGTGGAACCTTTTCAGCGTCCTTATCGACGTCAGGTTTGAAGGTTCTCTCCTATAAAAGTGAGTCAATCGTTAAAAAAACTTTTGAACACATTTTTGAGCAAAATAAAATAAAATTCTACATATCTCTTACTTTGAACAGTAGCGTGATCTTTTCCCTTTGCAAACCCCCCGGAGCCAAAGAAATTTCCAATCTGTCTCCAAAATTAAGTTCGAGCCGATAACTGCTGTGATGTCGGCCGCATGAGCAACTCTTATCTTGACCATTGACTACAAGGTGGGCTGCCTAAAAAAATAAAGATAACCAATCAGTTAATCACGGTAAATATTTGCCAGATAATTAGTCGTGCTGTTTGAAAAATTAAAAGTCCTTACTCGCATCGGCATTATGTAGTACTGTCCATTATTGCAGGATATTTCGACAAGTGACGCCGTCCTCATGGTCCATCTGTCGTCGTAGTCAGAATCCGAGTCGTCGTCAGAGGAGTAGTCGAAGTTACGGTTACGCTGGTCGGGGATGTTCAAGAAGATGAACTCTCCTTGGTCTTCCCACGAGGTAAATTTAGTCCCCAGCGTAAACTAAATGGGAAAATAAAATATTTCGAGTGAATTAATTTGCTAAATTACTAATCAGTAAGTAATTAAGGGCCGTCCATAAATTGTGTTAAGCAAAAATCATAATTTTCCAGGCACCCCGTCCCCCCTGAAACAGGCACGATATCATTAGGGCCTTTGGCCCCTCTCGTCTTGTGGTACGTAATTTCTGGACGGCCCCTTAACACCATCAATATAAACTTTTCCAAGTTTATGATGATTAAAATATTTACTAACTAACCTTCCGCCTGTCCTGATACGGCAAGATCGCAAACTCCTTCCAATTTGTGGTGTCGTTTGGATTGACGACTTGCTGGTCGTCCTCGTCATCCGACGAGCCCAAGACGTCCTTCTTCTTGTCGTCATCATCTGAACAAACGCAATCCCACTTAAATTCGGAACATTCGTTGCAGAAATCAATGAGGAGAACCCCGTCGACCCCTCTCATTTCGGATTTTTAATCAACTGCGCAAAAAATGGGCAAAAAACTAAATTTGAAATTACGAAGCAGAGAGAAATTTCTTTAGGCTGCAGTCTGTTTGGTGTGCAACGAATGTAATGTTTGAAATTGGAGCTGGTTTGGAGTCTCACTGACAATGGCGTGGATTTTTTTATGTCTGGGAACGTCCATATATTACGTCATCGGAAAAACACACTATTAAAAATAATTTTATTTTTTTTAAAAGAAATGCCTTAGAGCAGTTCACAAATTATGTAACGCGAAAGGGGGGCAGGGTGTAATATGACTCGTGCCTATAGGACACAATTTAAAGGGAGGGGGGATTTAGAAAATCGCAACTTTTGTGTTACATAATTTGTGAAATAGTTCGCAATATGGAAAAATTTATTCCAATTACAAAGTTGAAAACAAAATTTAAAATACTGATTTAGAGTCAAAATTTTGGAGTCATAAAATCCCAAGGGAACGTCCATATATTACGTCATCATTCTATTGGGTGGGTGGGATTGGTTTTCCTATCTTTCCCATGTTAAAATTCCCTATCCCATAATGCTTACGCTGGGTGGTGGGTGGTGGGTGCACAAAAATCGAGAATTTTTGATGATGTAATATATGGATGGCCCCCAGTCATTTTTGATGCACATGGTACAAAATGAGACTTTGAACCGCTCCAATCTCAAACACAGCGTCTACTTTGCAACCGACTTTTTCTCTCCACAAGTCACTCCAAAATTCAAAATTTAATTATGTACAACTTTTAAAGCAATTTATTGATTAAAAATTCAAAATGAGAGGGGTCGATTGGGTCCTGCTCATTGAAATTTGTCACGAGTGTTCGGAACTTAAGTGGGAGTGTATTTGTTCGGATAATGACGCCGCCAGGTCGGATGACGATGACGACGCCGCCGGCTCGAATGACGATGACGACAAGGACGTCGCCAATCCAAGGAAAAGCGTCTTGGACTCGTCGGATGACGATGACGACCAGGATGTCGCCAAGCCAAACGACACCGCATACTGGAAGGAGTTTGCAATCTTGCCGTATCAGGACAGGCGGAAGGTTAGTTAATTAATTAATTAATAAATATTAATACATAACGATGACTAACTTCGAATAGTTTTAATGTTAATTACTTACTGATTATTTAGTTAATTAGTACCCTCTAAATACTTTGTTTACTTATCTAGTTTACTCTAGGGACTAAATTTACCTCGTGGGAAGATCAAGGCGAATTCATCTTCTTGAATATCGAGCACTCCTCATCTGGCTACGACTCTGATTCTTTCTTCGACAACAGCTGGGCCATGAGGTCGGCGTCACTCGTCGAAATATCCTGCACTAATGGGGAGTACTACATAATGCCGATGCGAGTAGGTGTTGAGTTTACAAGATGTTTCCAAAGCTACTATCTAATTGCTGAATGAATCTTAACTCTAATTAAATAATTGCTCATGTCATGTTCGTGTTTAACATTTATTTCTTTCTTTTTTAGGGGACGAAACATATCGTCAACGGTGAAAACAAGACTTGCTCATGTGGCCAGCATCACAGCAGTTTTCGACTCGAGCTTAATTTTGGAGACAGATTTGAACTCTCGGTGGGGGACGGGGCCCCGGTCAGGCTGCTTTTCAAGGTGAGAAATTTGAAACTTTTGTGTAGGGGAGGGGACCTAAATTATTGCAAAATAAGAGACCGTTTTATGTCGCAGAAAATAATCAGCGGTGATATAATGATATAATTTTTGAAAATCTCGTATCCCAAAAGTTTTACAAATATTTAACGATTTATTTATTTAATTTATGAAGGAGAGAACCTTCAAACCTGACATCGATAAGGACGAAGAGGCAGAAAACAAGGAAGCTGAAGAGGTTTCACGGGAAGAAAACAATGTGGATTTTTCCCCTGGACGGAACCAATTGGTGTGTAAATTTTAAAACATTTTGCCCAGAGCTCGGCGGATATCGGGTGAAAACTCGACCAAGGAGCTAAAATCTGATGTATGCGATAACCGCCGAGCCCTGCTTTTGCTTACGATCAAATCATAATTAATTAACTTAAACTTAAGGAAAGGGGAATTTGTGATAAAATGATGAAATATTTTCAACTTTTGAATAAATGAGCAATGAACTGTTTTCCAATTTTTCGAATGAATTTTAAATGAAGTGTTTAAATGTTTTTTGACCAGGTTGTCACCAAACTGCAAGACACACTGCAAGAATTAATCCTCGATATGGACATGAGCCTTTTGCAACCAAACGGAGAAGAGGCAGCCTATCAAATCGCGACAAATCTGGATTTCAAGCATCTCAGAGCCTTCACTTTCTTCCTGAACGGCAACTACCTTCGCAATACGGACTTCGCCTCGTTAAATCTCGCCTGGTTGACAGCCTGGGCATCCGCCATTAAAAAAATTCAGTCCATCACGATTCACGGCGACCCCGTCCTGTCCTCATTTTTGGTTGACCACATGCAAACCGTGGGACCCTCGTCGTACCCTAATTTGACCCAAGTGAGTACTCCCTTCATCCACGAGGCGGGACCCGTCCTCGACTTTCTGCTCGGATTAGAGCAACCCTTGACTAGCTTAAGTCTGCCGATCCTCGTGAAAATGCAAGATTTTCAAAATTTTGAAAAATTGATGGAGAAAAATGGGAAAACTTTGAAGCACTTGGAATTGGTCGTGTCAACGTGTGGAGAAGACGGTCAGTTCGGGGTGACCCTTCGGCTTCCCGCGCTCCCCAAGTTGGAAAGGCTGGACTTTTGGGTTAAACGTGGATCCGATGAGGGGGTGACGCTTATCTTTCCGGGGGACGCGGCCAGCATGAGCTACAAGGCGCACCTGCCGTCCATCCGGTCACTCCGAATTTACCCGACGGACAGGAATTGGCGTGTCTCACGGTTTAAGAGTGGTCGGCAGTATCGGGAAAAGTATGGCGGTTTTTTGGACACTTTCCTCCCCAAGAAAGATGAAGAAATTTGCACGACTCTGAAATATCTGGACATTCCGTACGAGATGGGGCGCGATCCGTACCCACGGGGAGCCGAGCTGCCGGGAATGTTTCCCAATGTGGAGAACGAGTTCATGACGAAATTTCGGAAGCGTCCTCCTCCCCCACCGGCAACGAAGACGTACTGGTTGAGAAGCAAAGTTAAAAAGTGAAGGATTTTCTGGCATTCTTTTCAAACGTTAAAAATTTGTTAGGCTAAGTTGTAATTCTTTTTGAAATTGATGTTTAAATATTTATGATGTGTATCTTTATTTATTTGAAATATGATTAACTTTTGATTAACTTTTGGATAAGACTTGGATGTACTAAATATTGGGTAGCGTTTGAAATAAACTAGAAATTTGGTAAAAGGTGTAAACATACATTATCCTGGCAATTTTACTGCAAATTCTTCAGCGCTCTGTAAATACATACATCGTTCTACTCAGGAGGAATTAATAAATTATGCATATGCATCTTAAAATACGTGTATCAGTAAATAGATATAACAACGGAAGCAATCTAAATATTTCAAATTTTGAAATTTCGGTGAATATTTACTACATATTTATAAATATGTAGTAAATATATATATTTATATATATATTTATATATGTAATGTATATATTTACTCGTACCGCACTATTTAAATACACACAAATAACTGATTTGAATTTCAAGGCAAATATTCCAATCATATATTGAATAAATGTAGTAACCATATGTACATATGCTATAGGTATGTATGCATTATAATTAAGATCTAATTAAATACAAATAAGCTAATTAATTGAGATTTGATCGTGTAAGTAAAACCAGAGCTCATATATAGATATACATATCCATGATATCCATAAAATCTCGCCCTCAAGCTTAGATTTTGACACGGATATGGATACTTGGCCTCCAAATATCCAGACAGAGTTGCGTTAAATAATGAATGAATTATTTAAATAATAAATATTAAATAATTTTCGTTCTCAAAATCATTTAATTATTAAATAATAAATAACCACCAAATTTTTAATTTCATTTAAATAATAAATAATAAATAAGACTGGATTATTTAGAATTAAATAATTAAATAAACAAATAATTTAAATAATTGTTTAAAATTTAAATAATTAGTTATTATTGAGGCGATGCAGTTAATGGGGAATTTCGCGAAACAGCAATTTTGCTGTTTTAACAAGTACCAAATATAGTAAAGCGAAATTTCTTCGCTTTAAAGCGAGGAGACGCTCAACGCGTCTCCGCGCTCCGCGAGCTAAACGCGCTACACGAGTTTAACGCTAAATAGCGTTTAATGCATCAATTTAAATCTTATTGTTCAAAATAATCCACTTTAGGTGCATTTTTGTCAACACTACGACAAATTTTGCACTGACAAATTACTTAAATAATAGAAAAAGCGTCAATTGGAAATTATTGAAGTAATAAATAATAAATAATCACCAGCAATTATTTAACTTTACATAATAAATAATTTCCAAGCGTTATTTAAGCATTATTTAAATAAAAACTTATTTAAATAACGCATCTCTGTATCCATGTATCCGAGCTAAAATCTCAACATTTTTGAGGTTTTTACCAGTTATCTGCCGAGCTCTGATAAGTAGAAGGTCACAGGTTGTCGCCAGATTTCGATCTCCTTTGGATATGTTGTATGTAGTTCGGGAATGGAAAGGTGAAGAGGGCTTAAACTCCATGAGCCCATTTACGCCAGCCACAGCCCCTCAAAGGAGCCAAAACCTCCACAGTTGCTGCACGAAAAGCATCGCTATTTTTGCTTGCAAAAATGCTTTCCTGATGAGTGATGACCTGCAAGATTTTCATCTAAACAAGTGCTTGAATGTTAGGTTGTATGTAAGGGACACACTTTTTGCAAAAGTAATCCTAAGAACATACGCCTTCATGGAAGGGACCTACCCCAAAAGTCTCTCTACGTCGGTGTCGGCATTAAAATTGTGAAATTTCGGAGAGCGAATAAAATCAGATGTATTCCTGTCACTGTTTATTACATTTTTTTGCATTTTCGATGGCAGATACCTTCGTTAATATCTGCCAGCATTAGTACTGAGGAACTCGACATCAGTATATTTATATTTAAGTTTTTACCCCCATGTGTTCAAGAAGTTTGATGATACCATCACGAGTTCCCTCGTTAATGTCTTTTACTCCCAAGTTTACAACCTCTGATTATGTGTTCGCGTATGAAGAATATCTGTGTAAAATTCTCCAAATTCCTGAGACATTCAGGTACCCTTGCTTATTTGTAAGGACTGTTAATACTGGGAAGAGAAGAGGCTTTGTCCCTGATTGGACGCCAAGTAAACTGGGCGTCCAGTTGTGGAGTATGGCGTTGCTTGCCTAATCATAAGTTTTGGATGTATAGTCATATTTTTTTGGATGGATATGGATATGCTATACTCATGGTAAAATGACTTTGTATAGTCGATTTTAAACTAAGCGAGAAATAAGGTATTATTATATTTTATTAATTAAAACAGAGTGTTTCAACTTAAATAACGTCAACTTAAATAAACGTGATACTTTATTAAGGACGAGTGGAATCACACCAAGACCGGCATTATAATTAGTAATATCTTTTAATTAAATTATGGACACTGTCTATAAATTTATTTCATCCTGGTAATCTACCAATCAATATTCCATTGCTTCCGTCAACAAGAGGAAGAGGGCATTCTTTTAAAAATCCAGCTATATGAACTTTTTTGTCTTTCCCAATTTACTTTCCAACTTTCCAATCCATCCAAAAACCCGACCACACGAAACGGAGAAACTCGCCTTATGGGCATCAGTAATGGTACTTATGAAATGTGATACATACTGTAAACACAATGCTATAATAATTCCATATTGCTCATACATATAAATATATGTATATCATTACCATTACTCTTCTTCAGCTTTTTGATTTGCGAAGTCGCTTCCTCCGACGGAGTTAATTACGGTAATCAACAGCTTACATTCCTCTCAGCCAGGTTTAGCTGAGCTGGTTTAAATGACTGGTTTTCTATTAGGACCTTCCCAAGTATTTCGTCTTAAGTTACGGTTGGTTTGTTCCATTCTCACCGCTTCACCTTCTTTCGAGCCAAGTCCTCCAGCACCTCGCGCCCTGTTTTCAACAAGGCTCGTAATGTCGCAATTGTTGACGTTAGAACAGATATTTCGTCCGTAGGGGGACATTGCAACACGTCATCTCACCGTTGGTGAGCTCTGGTATATTTATGACAATTTGTGGGGTTAATTCGTACAACGGTGGAACAATCTGATTTGGTGACCCCATGGGGTCCAAAACCCCGCAAATTGGTAGAGTTATTTCTGGTATTGTCACACCGGGCAGCACTCGGGCGTTGGACCGAGAAAGACTTAACGCGAAGTGTATACAGAGTCTATGGTTGTACAATACAAATTATTCAGAGTAAAGAAGTAAAGTCTGAATGATACCTTGTTGTTGCGCTTTTATATTTCTCTCCATTTTGTCATAATAAGAGATTAATATTTTAATTAATTAGCTTAAAAGTACAATTTTAACAGTTACCATGACCCCTAGCCAATTTTGATAACTGGATTCTCGAGAGGAAAGTAACTTGGCAAATAATATTCGAGAAATGTGAATAGGTGGTATTTTTAAACTTTATTGACAAACTAGAGTAGAGGCCCGTTCAAGAACGGGTTCTAGGCCCCCAGAGGGGGGTGTGCCCATAGCGCAAAATCCCTAAACTTTAAATAATTTCCAGTAGAGACTTTGTCCCTTGTCATAGCGCATACATGCATCAAAGTCATGCTGTATTTCAATTTCCCTGGTTACGGAACAATCTGATTTCCCCCTCTGGGAGTGGCTGGATAGCTAACCACTTAAATTCTCACGTTCCACGCTCCCATTAACTTCCACAAACCCCGTTGACTTCCACAAACCCCGTTGACTTCCACAAACCCCGTTAACTTCCACAAACCCCGTTAGCTTACACAAACCCCGTTAACTTCCACAAACCCCTTTAACTTCTACAATGAACGCCAAGCTATTGACGGCTTTGGATTCAGCCTCAAAAATACATTCGAATTGATATGGGACATCACGCATAAGCCATATTAGAACCCCACGGTCACGGGAAGGTCACGGGGGCCTCGCAGGTCAAAACCATTGGCGGGGTTGGATTCAGCGTCAAAAATACATTCGAATTGATATGCCACTCGCTGTGGGTGGAGTTTCTCAAACTAAAATAATTAATTAATAGTGATTATCACGATCACTTATCATGATAACCACTATTGGTATGTATGCTGCTCACCAGCGGTGAGCTGGGTCGCACGTTTTGAAAACCTAGCCCAACCAAACCCGACTTCTGGATCAAGATAAAAACCCAGCCCAACCCAACCCAACTCGTAATCGGCCCAACTCACCAAAACCCAGCTGGGTTGTGTTGTGTTGGGTTGGGCTGGGTCGCACCCAACACTATCGGGTTTCGCACTCACCGTACTAAATGCTAGAGCACATTTTTAATCTTCGTGAAGTATAAATTTATAGTTTTTTCCAAATTAAATAGTAAAAATTCAAATTGTTTAGTAAAAAAATCAAAGATGAGACCCTGTCCAACTCGAAGGAAAAACCCAGCCCAACCCAACCCAACTCGTAAACGGCCCAACCCACCCAAACCCAGTTGGGTTGGGTTTGAACTTTGTCTTACCTCACTCCTGCACTCACACACCATAAATTCTGCATCCTGAGACATTTCTGTAACCTACAAGATTTTAAACAGACATTTTCTAAAACATTCCCTCTTTTTTAGAATTTTATTTCTCATATTATTAAAAATAATAACGGTGGTACATAATATAATCTTCCCATGCTACCAGCCTCCTGGAAAATGCATGCGACATTATAATCAATAATGGCCCTCTGGATTGTGATAGGATAAAGCATAAAAACATGTCATAAACTTCGTAGCAAAGAAATTTGATCCCCCACCCATTTCACAGGAGATAGTTGTGAACAAATCTGCACACAATGTTCTTTAGAAGAAAATAAGTCCAAGATCCAGGTTTTGGTAGTTTGGCCAGTAATAGATATGACCTGTTCGACCACATAGTCATACAGTGCATTATTTTTCATTGCTCGTCCATCATTAGGTAGTTGTCTTCTGAACAAGTAATTTGTATCGGTCTCCTCGCACGTCCTTAAAATATGACTGAGCGTCCTAATCCCACGCCATGCATGTCCGACTCATGGAGAAGGAATTCGAGGTCACCGTTAATGTTGGTTTTCTTTCGCAATTCGAAAAAATTCCGGCCTCAACGAATATGAGTATTATTATTAAATATGTAATATTAACAATTTATGAAATTATATCATTTAAATATTTATTACAACGACAATTTTAAGCATGTTTATAGTACATATTCATTTTTAGTTGACCCAGCTAAGGTAAGATAAAATTCAAGCACTGTTATTGCATCATAATTTTCTCCCAATGTCTGGCCACTTTTGTCGTCCCATTTACAGTATCCTGTCGCCGGAAAGAAATTATGGAAATGCATAAGCATGACGTAATTGGGCCAAAGAAGGGATCTGCACAAACCAGAGATGTGTCGTGTGCAGATAGGTAAAGATAGAACAGGGAATTACGCAATTACCCGGATAAAAAGAGCAACACCGAGAAAGAGTGATTGTACGGGAAAGTTTAGAGGAGTGAACAGCGATTACCGGGTTAGGCCCTTTATAGTATGTAACCAAGAAATACGTAGCTTTTAGGTAGAAGTAAGTGAACGAATGTGAACTTATGTGCAATAAATAAATAGCTTAAAAACGAGTTACCAAAGTGTTTACGGAAACTATTATTTGACCCTACAGTACCGCAACAATCCCCATACCGGTTTGTTGTATATGATAAAGTAGCAAGAATTGCACTGTTACGCCCACTTGAATTAGTAAATCTTAATGTGCTTAACGTCCTTTCTACTTAACGGTAACGGATTCATAACTCTACCCGCTGGGAAGAGCTTGGCACCAAATCAGACCACAAAGGCGACCTTTAACCCCAGTCACCGTTATTTAATGGGTGAGTTGACAAGTACGTCATTCATAGATAAGCAACAACAAGCCCTAAACGTGGCTGTCCAGTTAGATTCAGGAATTATTAAAATTAAAAATGGGATGAAGCGTTCCAAGAAGGTAACCTGGATGAGGCAGCAAATTATTTTGGACATGATATTAGAATGATATTAAAAGAATGATATTTTTCATTATTGTCATGATGGCTCTTTCATTTGTTTGACCATTCTGCTGTTTGTTGGCCTGTACTACAAAGAGTCCATTGAAAATGCAGTTTCTAAAATTTGGAGTTGAGGCATTTGCAAGGTGCTGCTGTGGAGGTGAGGCTGAAGACGGAAGTTACAAATCATCAGCACCAACTATTTATTGCATGTAAATGCAGATGCCAGTGTACAGTTGAATGACCTTTCACAAAAAGTGTAGGTTTAGGCTCATAAATAAAGTGTAGGTGAGTCAGGACCACACATTTTGTAATGACGTTTCCACTAACAAACATGATTTTACTTGAGATTTTTAAGTGTTAACAATAAATTAAATTATAAATTTTTTGATGCACATAGATCCGATCTGTAAAAATTTACATTCCCAAGGCTCTCCCCACATCAATTTTTCCGTACCCTAAGCGCAAATATTAAATTTAGTCAGCTTACTCTTTACCAAAAATTATATTAGAAGCCTTACCATAAGCACAATTGGGATAATCCACGCCTGGGGTGACCAGTCCACACGCTCTGTCCGCCGCGGTAATAGCGGGCTTAATCGTATTCGCGGTAAGGGCGCTACGAACCTGGGAATAGGACCAGCTCGGGTTGACCGCCTTGATAAGCAGGACGGCCCCCGCGGCGTGTGGGGTGGCCATTGAGGTCCCGGACATGGTGGCATAATTGTTTGCTCCCGTTCCACAGGAAACAATTGAACTACCCGGGGCGGCAATTTCTGGTTTGAGCACGCTCGTAGTGGAAGGTCCCCTCGAGGAGAAGGAGGACATCGCATTAGTTGAAGTTGTTGACCCAACGGAGATCAGGTTGCCCTGATCCCCCGGGGAATTAGCCGTCCGACAGGCGGATCCTTCGTTTCCAATCGCGAAGACGGGGATGATCCCAGCATTTTGCCATGTGGAGACCTGGCTGTTGTACCACGTGTTGCCTTGACCACCGCCCCACGAGTTTGAGACGACTGTGGGTCTCGGGCTGGCTGTGGTCATGAATTGAGCGCACCTGAGGAGAAATATTTAGTTATGAAATTGTATCTTAAGATTTTTATGAAATTGTTTATATTTATTTTTAGCTCACGTGGTAAGGGCCGATTCAGATCCGGAGCCCTGATGGTTAAGTCCTCGACAGGCGATCCACCTGGTAAATTGGGTGAAATTTGATTAACATAGGGCTTAATTACTCATCACCAAAATCGACAAAAATCAACAAATTTTTATCCAGCTCTCAGCCATGGGAATTTATTTTAAATTTCTTAACCTTAAACTGGTAGTCAGAAAAATTTATTACTATAATTATGGCTAGGTTTTTAAGCCAGTTTTGAAGAGTTCAAAATTATATTTGACAGCTTGTTAGACTTGAGAAGAGCTTAAAATGCTGCTGACATCTGGAGTCTATCAAAATATTTTTTTTATATGTGGAGACGACCTGCTCTGCAAATTTGATGTCCAGAATTTAAATAAATTCCCAATGACGAGAAATGATTCAAAATTTGGGAATAATAAGCAAAATTTAACTCATTTATACCTCGCGCCAGGCGCGCATCCAACTCCATTCGCTCTGCCAAGGATAGACCCGGCACCTGTAGATTATAAAGACTCAGTAATCAAAAATTATTAATTTTTCTGTTTCGTATAATTTTATTTACAATGGCTCCCATGTCCATTTTGATCCGTGGGTCTCGCCGTGCTGTAATAAGGATCTCGCCACGCCCCCGCATATCCCCCTGATAGCGCGGTATGTCCCTCGTTAACTCCGGTATCAATAATCCCCGCGACCGTACCTTCACCTTGGGTACGTGACCAGACCGCGTTACACCGAATATTTGAAATTCCCCACTGCACCGTCTGTGTGATTTCGGTGTCATTATTGTGCACGATGGTTGGATAGATGGAGGTCATGTGCTCTTCCCGAACTACAAAGTCACCCGGTACGGCGCCTAACATTTGCAGAGCGGGAACCGTAACGTCCTTGACCAGGATGATATTTGAAGCCCAAAACGTTTCGTGCGCGAGACTAAGTTCGCTCAGTCGAGTGACGAATGGCGCCTGCGCAGCGGAGGTGAGACCTTCCAACATGGCGACGAGGGCGTTGACCTTCATGTCGCCGGACAACGATTGGAGGGCGGCGTGGGAATCGATCTGGTCCATGATTTGAGGGAGCTCGATAATCACGTTGGTGACCTGACCCGATTCGACCTTGGAGATAAGGTCGATGTCCATCGTCCCTGCGGATGCAAGGGCCAAACAGGCCGCGAGAAAGGCGAAGGTCTTCATTCTATTTGCTTGGGATCTGTTAGATTTTGATGACTGGATGCGGAGTATCGGGAAAAACGCGGTTTTATACCCGCAGTCACATCATAAAAATGTGTGCATCTCATTAGGAATTGAAAACAATTTAATCCGGTAAATCCTACAAAAGCTTAATTTAGCAGCAACCTCGGGATTTGAGGTGGTATCATTCCATTGTGTTCGAGTTTCAAATCGATTATTGGGATTTTCAAGCCAAACAACAACTAGGTGCTTGTGAGTGGAACCTTACACTCTTAGAAATCTGGTGTTGAAATGATACGCATATGAAATGTGGTATTGGTAAGTAATGCCGAATAATTAGCTGGGCATTAAAGTGTTGGTAGCAAATTTTTATAGACCGGTAGAATTTTTTTTACCAAATCGTAGTGACTTTAATACTGAGAAGTGGTTACCAGCGTGAATATTTATACGTACCAGAGTTTTAACGGTGTACCCTTGCTTAATTATCTATTGACCTTTATTTGCCTAATTTATGCAGATACAGGGATTAAGGAATTAAACCTAATCCGATCATGCTGGTATTTACCCAAAGTAATATGTAACCAAATTCACTGTATTAATCGGCGTTTGTACTACCTAAAATGTTTTCCCGATTAATTATTTAATGATCTCATGATGGTAGGGATTTATAAATAGATAATTTATTATCGGTTGACATTGATGCATCGATATGTATACTTGCATATTCCTATTTGAAAGCAATTCTTTGCAAAGGATTAGTCAGTGCACGTGGTGAATGCATGGTGCATACAAAGATTTATTTATTATTAAATGGTCAAGTATTTACATACTTTTTACTTCACATACGTACAATTAATAACCACATGCATAATAAAATAACATCATTATTTTTTTTACTAAATGCCCATTCTACAGACTTACAAATTATTTTACCTAAGGGGCGATCCATAAATTATGTCACGCAAAAAAGCCCTTTTTTAAGACCCCCCCTCCCCTGTTGTCACGCCTTTGTCACGCTCGTTGTGACCCCTCCCCCTTCCCCTCCTGTCACGTCACGCCTGAAAATCTGAATTTTTCCGATAGCAAGAATTTCAAATAAGTTGTAAAAAAACACCAAATTTTTCAGTTTTCTTGTGTTACTGCTACACATTTTATAGTTGTTAACATTTTTGAATCATGCAAGTTGTCTCCAATCCCTACACAGTTTTGAAACTATGAAAAATAAGGTTCTTTCGGACGAATTTTTAAATTGTGCAAATTTTTGGAGATTTAGTAATGTTTTTTTTAAATTGTTGCATGCATTTTTGGAAAATTATGACGATTTTTTGAACTTATGCAAACTTTATGGCATCATGAATTTTTAATTTTTTTTAAACTTACAAACAATTGGGTATTTTGAAAATTATTTAAAGGTTTAAACAAAATTTAGAAACTCGGCTGAATATCTCAAAATCTAAAACTTGGTTGAAATTTTGGATTTTTTGGATCAAGGGTTTCATATATTGGGATCGGTGTTTCTTTTTGTGCGCACGAAATTATTATTATGCATGCACGGTGCATAAAAATGCATAAAAATGCATAAAAACGCCTAAAAATGCACGAAAATGAATAAAAATGCAATTTATGCAGGAAATACAGTGTCGGACAGATGTCTACGTCCACATAGTCGCGTCAATTTCATTTTCAAATTGTCACTGAACTACTGAACCAATTTTCATCATTGATATATCAAATTCTCACAAATTTAACGTAATTTCATAAAACATATGAGTTATTTCTGAAAATTCTGGGAAAACTGAGAATCATAGTGCAGAGCGAGAGAGGATGAAATTTGAGCGGACAAAAGTCTACGTCCTCTTCACTTTAATTGTCAACAACAAAAATCTCTCCAATTTATAAAATCAGGTAACTTAATAAATCTATCAATAACATATGCCGCATTAATTTTTAAATAATTTTCTTCCAGAAAAATATGATGGCGTCGACACGCAAGGAAATTCCTATCGCTATTCGAGATCTTGTCATTCAGGACTGGAAGGGTGGACAAAAAGGGGGCTGTCGCAGAGACAAATATGGACCAAGTATAAATTAGCAAGGACAACCATCCAGACAATCATTAAGAACTTTAAAGCTAATGGTTCAGTCCAAAACAAGGTCAGAAGTGGTCGAAAACCCATTTTGGCTCACCGAGAAGTACGCCACGTGCTCAACAAAGTCAACGTTACACCCTCACTTAGTGCTCCAAAGCTATCTACCGAGATCAAGGAGATGTTCGACAAACAAGTTAGTCCTAGGACCATCCAAAGAACACTGAACAAGGGAAATTTGAAATCCCACAGAGCAGTCCAGAAGCCTCTTATTGTACCGAGGAATGCAACCAAACGAGTGAAGTTTGCCAGAGACCACATTTCCAAGCCACAAACATTCTGGGACATATTTTATGGACTGACGAGTCAAAGTTCAATGTCTTTGGGTCAGATGGGCGTCGTAGAGTGTGGAGATATCCAAAACAAGCTTTGAATCCAAAAAATCTCAACCCCACAGTTAATCACGGCGGCGGGTCGGTAATGGTGTGGGGATGCATGGCTTCAAGTGGGGCAGGAAAAATGGAATTTGTTGACGGAATTATGGACCAATACAAGTACCAGGGAATACTTGACCGTAATATCCAGGAATCTGTTCGAAAACTTGGACTTGGACGACGATTTGTCTTCCAACAAGACAACGATCCGAAACACTCTGCCACGTACACCATGGAATACTTCAAGAAAAAAAAATTTCGAAGCTAGAATGGCCTCCCCAATCTCCAGACTTGAATCCCATTGAGCATCTGTGGGACCACATTGAAAGAGAAATAAGAAAACAATCTTTTTCATTAATTCCGGGCCTTAAATCCAGAATTCGTGAAGTTTGGGAAACCATTTCGGAAGATGTGACCAAGAATTTGGTAAACTCTATGACTCGACGCCTTGAAGCCGTCCTTAAAGCGAACGGAGGCCCAACCAAATATTAAAAATTAATTGTTATAACATTCCTTATAAATTACAGTTTTTTTTGTATGTTTTCTCTTACTGGACGTTGACTTTTGTCCATCCAATTGTTTTCATTTTGAATTAAAATACATCTCTGGCCTAAAATAAATTTTTTAGCGGAAAACTAATAATGTGCTATGAAATTACGTTAAATTTGTGAGAATTTGATATATCAATGATGAAAATTGGTTCAGTAGTTCAGTGACAATTTGAGAATGAAATTGACGCGACTATGTGGACGTAGACATCTGTCCGACACTGTATCATATTTTCAAGAAATTTTATATTTTTCTACCCTGCCAAATGGGGGTAAGATTCAGCTATCTGAATCTCTATACTGGTTTGAAACCTTACCACACCATTTGGCAGCCCGAGTCGCAGCTTATGTATCCTGCCATGCGCTAGTAAAACTTATCCTATCTAGGTATTTGGTATTTGGTACACATATCGAGTAACACGGAATTATTATTCGGCAAGAAAATTTCAAACAAATGACACGTATTTGTTTTGTTACAAAATACAAGCCCGTATTCAGCCGTTCATTCATTTTCATTTTTGAAATTGTCATTCATTTTTTGTATTGAAGAATGAAAAATATGTGTATATGTACTAAAAAGTACTGAAATGGTGACGAAAATATCATAAAAAGCACATAGATCTCTCAATTAATCGAATATTTAGAAAAAGCGCATTATTCCAATATTATTTGCATGTAAATTATTTTCGTGCATTTTCGTGCATTTTCATGCACTTTTTCAGATTTCTAGTGGGTGTTATTAAAAGTTTAAAATCATTTTCGTGCACTAATTTCGTGGAGGTGTTATTTAACAGCAGAAACACTGATTGGGATGGACATATATTTCTAAATAATTGCGAAACTAGTTTGGTCCTAGTCGAAGAATTAAAATGAGTTAACGCTTGCATTAAGTCAGACCTGGGAAACGTGATGTCACGGACCGGCCGAACCCCCCCTCCCCATAGGTCACATTTTGTCACGGAAGCTTGGAACCCCTCCCCCCCATCTTCAGCGTGACATAATTTATGGACCATTCCTAAATCCTTCCCGGTGTATATTGAAATTTTAGTGTAGGTACTCATTTGACATTTTACTTTATGCAGACAAAACAGATTTTTCAAAAACTACTTTAATAGGTATTAAAGTTTAGAAACTGGTCAAATGTTTACGATTTGGCTTTCTCACTTTCAAAAAATCGTGATAAGACAGACAACTTATGGATGAGGTCGTGACACCTTTTCATGCAAATTTCTTTTCAAGAGATGCAATGTTAGTAACATTATGTTATTCTCATTACGCTCGAGCGTAATGAGAATAACATAATGTCATAACATAATTTTCATATTAACATAACATATGTTATTAACATAATAACATTAACATAATAACATTAAAATATGTTATTAACATAATAACATAATTTTCAGGAGAGCGCGCTCTCCTGAAAAGTTTAAAAAAGTCCCAGGCCGTCCGTTTCTCTCAACTTTGTTACGTATTTTATCCAAGTGTTTATTTAATTACACTGGCATCATTTCCTGATTTTCTTTGCGTATACCGACACGCGGTCGTAAGAATTTATCAGATGTCAACGGATATTACGTTGGTTGGTATATTTTTCTAAGCTGTTTTATGGCATAAATTCATTTCTTATTAGTGTCATTATTGCTTATTGATAATTTTAAATTTTAAAAAATACAACAAATTTCTGTCTCCTCAGCGAGACATAAATATTTAGTCCTTATGTATGTAGACAGATTCCAACAAACACTTTCAAATACATATGCATGTCCTGTCGCGTACGTTACGTAATTACACACTCGTAAATAAGTAAACATTTGTCATGTATGTATGTACATACCTAAATATATAACTGAAGCATCGCAGTGAACCACTTTACCCTCAATGAGCACCATTTTATATGCATATGTATATGTATGTATATATGTATGCACATAGGTACCTAAATATGTACATATGTAAATATGTCATATGCCTGTCATATGTTGATGCATGTCCCATTTTCTTTACCAACGAGCAACAGTTCATCGATACGGAAGTCTGGTTAGCGCACGTGTACACTCTTAAAAATAATGTCACTCTAAAGTAAATACCGTAGTGTTTTTTAGCTATAGATAAATACTGCCCGGATGGAGACAAATTATGACTGGCGGGTGTTAATTTTATCACTACCACTATATGTGAGAAACATCATTACCGCGCGGTGAAGCTAATGTTCGATGACGATTAACGTCAGGTTTTTAAGAGTGTGTACATATGTATTGATTATCAGAAAGCTAAATATTTACGCATTATTTTCCTCGTCTCTGGTCTCGTCACGCACGAGTCGAGTGGCAAGTTCCATTCTGCTTTCTATTTGGTGACGAGATCCATTTGGTTTTAAACGTATCCCATTTTTTAAAAAACTAAGATAAAAAATTTTTCACATTCACAATGCTTAAAATTATTTCGTCAATCTGCGTCAAAATTATCACAACATTCATGAAAGTTGTCAGTTTTCTAATATTTTTTGGAGTTGCTGTGGAAATCGCGTATATAGAAAAGGACAGATATTGTGGTAAGAAAAATGTATCTTGGTTGAATAACAATAAAATACAATATTTCTTAGGGAACGTCCACATATTACGTCAAGAAAATAGGGGGCGGATGGTTTTGGGTCGCTTATCTTACTCGCGATAAGCTTAACATGAGTAGGATAATGAAGTGGTGCGTGGGTGGTGTAAAAATTGGCGTTTTTAGATGACATAATGTATGGACGTTCCCTTATTAACCAGTTCATAAGTAAGTAATTGATATATTTTTCACAGAGCGGTTACGAGGACCATACCGACCCGATCCTGTCGTCAACGGATTTCTTTGTTCGACTGAAATGGCAATATCATAAGAGCTAATGTTATTTGTGTGCCAGATTAATATCAATTATCATTAAATTCGCTGAAGAGTAATTTACTGTCGCCTGTTGCTACTTATTTATTTACTTATATACAACGTGTACGATGGACTTGCTCCTGGCATGTTTTTTTTGCAACATGTAAAATTCAACGTCATCATTTTAGTGGTTTAGGTTTTTTTATCTTACCCATTTTAAAATTCCCTACCCCTTAATATTTACGTTGGGTGGGTGGGTGCTGAAATCGAGAATTTCTGATGACAGTATATACTATATATGGATGCCCCCTACTACATAACCTTCCAGGTCGAAACTCGGGACAGATTTTTGTAAATCTTAGAATAAATAAAGCTCCATTTTCCACACATGAATCATTGCATCCATGAAATATTTGCACACATAGGTACTTAAATCAAATACACTGTTAGAAATCTGTGCATATACATACATACATTATGTACCTATACATAGTCACGCAGGTATTTTTTATTTCTTCTAATCAATTCATTATAATTTGATTGTCATGTGCAAAGAAAAAATATATTTATTAACTTGATAATTGTTGAATAACTATCATACATATTGAAGTTGTCAAATGAATTTAGGAAATATGGGTTGAATGAATTTGAGATAAGGATGAAAATGTCAGTAAATGTGATTAGTGGGGTCGTCTATATATAACGTCATAAAAAATTATCGATTTTAGCACCCACCTACTCAACGAAAACATTAAGGGATAAGTAATTTTAACATGGGAAGGATAGGAAGAACTGAGCCATCCACCCACTAAAACGATGACGTAATATATGGACGTTCCCTACACATAATGATCTCTTGGAGCCCGAGTTGTCCAATCATCATGTTATTATGATGATTTACACCGCATGCTTTTTTAAATGAGTATTAAACATACTGACACATATATTTATGACAAATGTAAATGTTTTTTTATTAATTTGTTTGAATAAAGCCAATACACAAACCAAATATCTATACTCTTGCTCTTTAAGAGTAAAGAGTAAGAATTAAATGATTCGACAAGCAGATCCGCCGACTATTTCAAAAGTACAAATACTCTATTGGATTATGTTCCCCACATGAAACGAATTAAAACTTAGCATTTTTTCGGGCGCCAAAATTTCCTTTGGGGGGGTTATGAGAATAATGGAAGATAAATGTGGTGCACATAGGGCACAGCATATCTATGAAATGGGTTGATGAAATTTCAAAAACAAAATTTTGTTACACTCTCTGGATCAGTACCCCGATAGGTTTTTCGAACTGAGGTGGAATTCCGACTTTGAGGGGTTTTTCACAGCGACGCAAAATTGACTCAGAAATTAATTTTTCGCTATAACGAAAAAGTATGACGAAATGTTCATACATTAGCTTTTAATGCTAATGGCATCACCAATTTTTACTACATTGCAAATTATTAGTAGTAGAATAAAGGTTAAATTACCCAGAAAGTCGAAATCGACCTGCGTGACCTTCTTTCGGGGACCGAAAGGTCAAAATGTCAAAGGTCACGGAGCCATATAAATGGGGTATCATTGGAAAGGTATTGACGAGTGGATTAAGAATATATATACTTTGTGGGGTCTGAAACCACTCCATGCAAACATAGAGCCAAAAGAATATTTTTGAGTTTTTCCCATGCATGCTTCCGTGCTAGCTCCCAATCCACTGCTGTGTTAAATTCTGGACAACTGCCGATTTTCGTTCTTTGGCCTCTAGACTTGCAGGGAGTGGTTTCAGACCCCACAAAGTATACATATTCTGAATCCAATACCTTTCCAACGATACCCCATTTATGGGGTAATGTGACCTTTGACATTGTGACCTTTCGATCCCCGAAAAAGGTCACGCATGTCGATTTCGACTTTCTTTGTAATTTAACCTTTATTCTACTACTAATAATTTGCAACGTAGTAAAAATTGGTGAAAAGCTAATGTATGAACATTTCGTCATACTTTTTCGTTATAGCGAAAAATTAATTTCTGAGTCAATTTTGCGTCGCTGTGAAAAACCCCTCAAAGTCGGAATTCCACCTCAGTTCGAAAAACCTATCGGGGTACTGATCCAGAGAGTGTAACAAAATTTTGTTTTTGAAATTTCATCAACCCATTTCATAGATATGCTGTGCCCTATGTGCACCACATTTATCTCCCATTATTCTCATAACCCCCCCAAAGGAAATTTTGGCGCCCGAAAAAATGCTAAGTTTTAATTCGTTTCATGTGGGGAACATAATCCAATAGAGTATTTGTACTTTTGAAATAGTCGGCGGATCTGCTTGTCGAATCATTTAATTCTTACTCTAAACCAGCCTTGTCTCGGAAGTCCACGGTCAAGATGGGGTTAAGCTTGTGAACTGTTCTGGATGAAAATAAATTATGGTAGGGCGCCACCAGATTCGCTCTTCGTTTCTGAAAGTAATCAAAATCGAAAATATTAGCATTATGACATGGGTGACAAGCCGCCTTACGGTACAAGTAACACGGGGGAGGGTCCAAAAAAATTGGAATTGGGCGTGAAACAATTTATAGACATTCCATTAGTAGGTGTCTTGAATTGTATGTATGAACATACATATCACAGGGTAAGGAAAACCCAGAGGTTTTGGTAATGAAAACCCATACCCAGGGGTTTTACGTACGTTTATGGTTTTTCGGGGTATTGGGGTCAAATTGAGTCATGACCTGGGCCCAATTTTTCATGGTCACGCTTTTCACTTTTCACTTTTCACTCTGCATTTTAGGAAAAGTGAAAAGGCAGAGCGTTTTTTATGCATCGTGAACTCTGCACTTTTCACTCTGCAGAAAAAGGTCAAATGCAAAGAGATTTTGCAGAGTAACATTTTCTCCCCTCTCAAAATTATGGCTCCGTGCAGAATTATCCCTGCGATTTATAAAATTATTTAACTAACTAATTTGCACAATTTCTGGTCCATCTTCCGAATCTTTCTAATTACTAATTAATGTCAATTATAAAATCGTTAACAAAAGTCCTTGAATTAGTTTATCTTAATTAATATTAATAAATTCATTGCAAAAATTGATTCTATCAATTTATTTATAGGTTAGAAAGGCGTTGGTAGAAATTTTAAACAGTATAATTTTCATGATTATGGTCCGTGCGTGGAACTACGACAAATTGCAAAACTCTTAGCACGCAGATTCTTCTTTAAATATGCATATCTACGAACGGCTTCCTAGCCTATTTAAAATTAAGAAGCAACTTTTGTAGTGAACTTATTAATATCAATTCAGATAGGATTAATATGGTATACAAATAAAGCAATTATTTTGAAAAATGTATCACGAGAAGCGAGAGTTTTGAGAAAAATTCAACTGCAAAATGCACCGATTTTACTCCCTGCTTTGTCTTTTTCGGATGCAAATATTGCAAATTTCATACTAGTTAAATTTTTGATCGATTGACACTACTTTGGTCGAAATCTGTGAGAATATGTGCGTTGGGAGACCTCCATTGTTGCTCAATCTAACAATGATGAGGTGTGGAGTTGATTATCGCCGATTTTTACCGGACTAATTTTAAATTGTTCACGCTTATAAATAAGCGGATGTTTGGGGGTTTCCAAAATGTGAATGTTTTCGCCAGTTACGGAATTTAAAAAAATCAGAATTTTTCAGCACGCTGTCACTTTTAGAATTTTAACCCGATTTCAAACATCTAACATAATTTTTGGTAAGAAGCACTATAAAACTTCATTTTATGAAATTTTACGTTATTTATGTTATTTCTAAGTTTTTTAAAATTACAAATTTTTTTAATGGGGTTTTTATAATTTAAGAGCAATTCTGAGAACAAACTGTGCTTCATTTTTTAGATCGGGTTATCTAAAATTCAAAAAGTGACAGCGTTTTGACAAATTCTGATTTGCCGATTTTTTAAAAATTCCACTACGGGTGAAAACATACGCATTCTGAAAAACGCAAAAAAATATAGGTCGGCATATTTCTGAGCGTGGCAATTTAAAATTACTCCAGTCAAAATCGGAGATAACCAAGATACACCTCCTCATTGTAAGTAAATGCTGGCAATAAATAACTATTTATGCAAATAGTGAGGAGTGAAAGTCAAAGTAATATTCCGAATTATATTTCACGAAAGGGAGCGACATTGACGGAGCCGGAGTAAAAGTTTTGAAAAGTGAGGAGTGAAGTGCCTCTTGACCTTTTGCACTTTTTTGTGCAAAGTGTAGAGAATATTTTGCAGAGCGACACGTTGAAAAACGGGTCCCTTCTCTGCACTTTTCAAAACCTCTGCGGTTTCGACTTTTCACTTTTCACTTTTCACTTTGCAAATCGCGGTCGCTGAAAAACCCTCTGCTTTGCAAAATTGGTGAAAAGTTGAAAAGTGCAGAGTGAAAAGTACCATGAAAAATGGGGCCCTGGTGTATTTAGTTGTGAAAATAATCTGCCTTTTTATTAATTATGCAATAAACCAGCTTTTTAATTCAATTTTTATAACTAATTAATTTTTAGAATGTCCTAGTCCTACATTTTACTCAACTTGAAACACTCGACTACTTGCGAGTATTGCTCGTATTTTCTACCAAAAACCCACAAAAACAAGCAAAACCACAACAGCGACAAAATTCGGGGTACTTAGCATACAGTGATACATATTTATGTTGCAAAAGATAGGAAAGGAACAAGCCTGGCATATCCATAAACAACTTACCATTCAGACGCGTAACATTTTCAAATGACAGTGTTATCTCAAATTTCTTTTTCTTTCCCTTTCCTTTGCCATCTTTGGGTTCCCCCGTGACAGCCGTCTGAGCCCCGGAAGGGTCATCGGTTCCTGCTGTTAATTCAAGACCAATACTTAGACATTTCGCGCCACTTTCTCATATTGCCCGTCTTTAATATCATCTAAATAGTATGTACATGTATATGCTACTGGTAAACTTTTAAACTTCCAGAATTAAAATGAGACCACACAGTATTCAAATAATACTTTGCCAATTTGGTATTGATAAGTAGTACCGCGTAGTATCCAATATTTAGAGAGGCTTAGTTTGA